CACTCTGTCACCCACTTCCCCATTTTCAGCCACACAAAGTTGTTGTTGTCCTTATTTTAAGAGAAGCAAGCGGAGGTTGATTAATGGTTTGTTGTCCAAACATTTACAGGCGTAAATGTATTGTTTTAGAATAATGAAGAAAAGGTGCAGTGTGCATCTTGGGTAATCGGTTAGATGAGTTAAATGGGGGATGTCGTTAAAGGTTATTTGTTTATTTGAAAGTGTAATGTTGGTGTCATTTTCACGGTTGAACCATGATATGGCTTTCAAGTAAAAGGCTGTTGTTACGGTAGTCTAGAAATGTATGTTCTATAGAGTCTGGTTGGAGACAAAGAGTGCACGCTTCATCCTCAACTATCAGATATACTTAGGACCTCGGTTATGGATTCTTTTACCAAGGAATACTAGAAGTTCACCGACATTATCAGCTTTTAAGAAAAACATTTGCAGTCTTGACTTGGATATTTATCTGATAGTTGTGGTAGTAATTGCACTTTACATGGTTCTTAATGTCTTTAATGTATTTTTATCTTATATATCTCATGCATTTTTATCTTATTTATATTTTTATATAATTGTAAATATCTTAGATTAGCTTTTTAAACATAATATTAGGCTTTATTATTTTAATCTTTTATGTTTAAGAGTTCCCATTTAGTGGTTTTATTACTGCTATTTTAGCCTGAGCCTTAAATAGAGTTACTTACTTTCCTGACTGAGCGAGATTATGGCCCGATTCGGGCCATAATGCTATTTTTGTGGCGAGGACTGACCGAGACAAAGTGAGACAAGGATTTTGTCTCTCTAGCACGACTGGATGAGACATTTGTCTGGCATGTTTATTGGCAATAATATGGCTTGAACTAGCACGATAGAGTACAAACCGAATTTATTCGCTTGCGCTGCAGTACCAAGACAGTTGCCAGGTTGTGTTATCATTGTAATTCTGGCTAAATTTGTTTTAAAGTGCGTAAAATTCGGACATGACATTTATCAGGCCTTGTTATTGGCCATAATCTTGCTGATCTGCCTGACACCTCGTACCATAAAAATATGCTAAATGCAAAAACTACAATAATTATAACAGGATTGTTCTTTTGCATCAAAATATTCATTTCAACCAGCTTATTCTCCTCCAGGTTGCATTTTTGTTTAGTTTTCAGCTTTTGCTAGAGGCCTCGCAGTATTTACATTGCGAGCAATGAAAACTCGAACATATACCATGCCACGCCACAAGTCTGTGTCTGCTCCTACATATTGTACAATGTGCTTCAAATTTCCTGAAATGTACCCCAAAGAAGGGCCTGTTCACATGGAAGTGGGGAACCTCGTGCAGGTGAGGTCCCCCGCCTTGGTGGGGTAACCAATCTATCCATACAATCTCTCTTTTTTTCTTGATCACATTCACATGTTAAGTGGGGTACCCCACCAAGGCGGGTTACCTGGTCAGGCGGTCCGGGGTAACCTGCTTTGGTGGGGTGAGTTTTCTCCATGTGAAAGCTGCAGAGTGGGGTAACCTGCCTAACTGGTGTAATCAAATCACTGTGCCAAAGCCTGTCAAAACACGCGGCAGAACAACATGGCTGCAACCGCTATGAGCGTGGCGAGTTATTTCAAAGATTTCACTGCCGAACGCTGATGGAATTGACAGTGCTGGTGATAATTTAAGCGTGAAATCGGATAGTCAGGCTAATCAGCGGAATCAAACTGAAGTTTTGCATGCAACAACAACATTGAAGTGAAAACCAGCTTCATCAGAATGAAGAACAAATCTGCGAAGAGGTCAAACCAAAAACCGCCAAAAGTCAGGGCAGGAACTCCTGAACGTGTTCAACTGTTACTGACATATCTTAAAGAATACAAAGTTACATGCGACCACATGATTGCATTTTGGACCTCACCCTGCGTTCCCAGGGTTGCATGTGAAGGCAAGTATTTCTTTACCATGGGTAGGTGAGGTATCTCACATCCCCGGGGTGCCCTGTTTTCATGTGAACAGGCCCTAAAGAAGTTCTTGGCACATAGTTTCCACTCCAAAATTTACCAGTAAACTGTTTTGGGTGTTGATACTGGTGAAGACCAGTGAATGGGTAAAAAGTGTTTGACCATTTTGTGACATCGCAACTTAAAATCTGATCTTGAAGTCATTTGAGAAAATACGGAGAGTTCAATTTGATTGGTTCACTCTGAATAAAGATATCAAGTTTTGCACCCTTTGACATCAAAAAATAAGAACTCAACTGTTTAGCGGGAAAATTTCATTGTGTCTTCATGTGCTGTATTTGTGTTGGGAAAAGATCAACTCCTTTGAAATTCTCCCGCTTTGCTGGAGACAATCTTCTCCAGCGTCTGTAAATAATGTTACTAGCAGCTTAATTTCAGTGTATGGAATGTGTGACGGTGGTGTATTAATTGTGCAGAAAGGGTTTCGATGTTCTTCAAGAGATCATTTTCAGAATGAAGGGATTTTTAACGACAGCACTCGTGTTAATATACAGCTAGTGTAATTTTACTACCACAAGAAATGGAAGTAGCCAAGGATTGATTGAGGCGAGCTTGTAACTTTAGCTAGATCATTGTCACAAGTAGATCAGCACACTGAAAATTGTGATTAATATACAAATTGTTGCATGTATAAAAGGCTACCAAGCAGAACTCTACTTCGATCAGTTGAGACTCGTATTTTGTTTTCTGTTAATTTCAGTTGATTACAGAACATGCCACAGAATCGAAGAGTAACTGTTCAAAGTTTCCTTTTTGATTTAAGCAAAACCTTAAATTGTAGACATAAAAAACTAAATAAATGAGTCCTAGTTACATACTGTTATTGTGATGTTTGGTAGTTGTATGTAATCATATGCAGAGGATAATGATTGTCGTCGTATATAGCAGAACTATAAAGAGCTATTCATTTTCATGCTAGGTACTCAAGTGTTTATTGGCCGTCACATCTGGTCTGGCTCATTAGCGTGACTATTTTATGGCCCAAATTTTGCTGGTTTCTTGCTCAGATTTTTGTCCAAAACTCAGGGCAGTAGAATTGTCTCGCTCCTCATTCATTTATCATTCAAGTTTTGTCGCTCCTATCAGCCTGATTATCATCATGTTCTGTCTCGCTCATTAGTGTGATATTTTATGGCCAGAATCTTGCCCGTGTCTTGCTTCTAATTTTTGTACATACACTGTAACACAAGTCTTCCTTGCATGATCCATATAAATATAACTTTCCATGTGTGGAATTTAACAAGGTTTAAGACAATCACAAAACTATTTGCATTGCTTTGCTTGTCTAAATTTTTGTCATAAAATGTCAATTCAGAACAGTTTTGTTCAGCATACTATTTTGATGGGTTTTTCCTTAGAACCTCTGTGACTGGAAATGTAATAATTGTGCAAACACGGAACAACAAGAGGAAGGAATTGCCCTGTCCTCACACACCTCCACTAGGAAATCTGTCTCTACCTGGTCTCCTCAAAATTAAGAAAAGAAAGCCATTGTAATTTAAGTAATATTACACTAAACATGATTTCTTTTGCCTGTTCATGACTGGCTCATGGAGCCCTTTGATTAGCACGACAGTTGAAAAGGAGAGGGAAAGTAACAGGTTTGTCATAAAAAGTTTTCACAGGCAGCCAATAAAGGAAAACAGGCAGTGAAAAGCAAGGCCCAAAGGGCTGAGCCAACCTAGGGGGGTCTGGGGGACATGCCCCCCCCCCCTCCTGGAAAATTTGAAATTGCAGGTAGCCAAAGATACAATTTCATGCATTTTGGGGGCCAAAGTGTTGTATTTAAGCACTTGATGAACTTACAGCTCTGAAGCTCTGAAGTGTCTGAATTGGCTCCCTCTGGCTGGAAGATGTTTTTCTCACCGATGTACCGCCATAGAAAATGCAATCAAAGGAGACATTCCACAACATTTTGAAAGTTTTAAATCGACACTAAGAAGTTCACATGGCTACAACACTAACCGTGGCTACTTACCTAGATTGCCTAATCCTAAAACGGAATGCGGAAAGAGAGTGTCTAACTTCCGTTTTACAAATGACTGGATGTCTCTCCCAGTATTTTTAAGAAAGCCAAGGCCATGCACAATTTTTAAGAAAAACCTTACAAGGTTCTTAATAGATAAACATTTTTAGAAAAAATATTTTTAGATGTACAATGTATTGTTAATAGATAATTATTTGTAATTAGTTTTTTAGGACAGTAGGTAGTTTTGGTAGTTTTAGTAGTTTTAATTATTGTATATTTTATATTTTAGA